TCTATGTTCCATATATGTTCCCCAGAAAATATCCTCCCAATGTGACATTTAATGTAGACCTTTAAAGGGTTTTATGTTCTCAGCTATGTTCTTCCTTAGGTCAAATGTCCAATGTATGTTTCCCTGGGTCAATATGTCAAAATCACCCACCTACACCACTCGTCTCACAGCTCAACACTCCACACAAGGCTACACAAGGCCGTTAGGAACACAGGAACAACTCCATGCCAATTAAGCAAAGAGGTGCTTGGAGCTAAATGCTAACATCAGTGTGCTAACACACAAACATGTGGATGTTATGCAGGTAAAATGTTGCTCCTAATTATAGTTTAGTGTGCTAACATGCAAACATGCTAATTAGTGCTAAACACAAGTACAGCTGGTGGGACTGGTGTTACATTTGCATGTATTTAACTTTGACAGTATCAGGCTAAGTAGAATTTTGAGCTGATGGCCCAGAAGAAAAGTCAGGGGATTAACAGCAGTGGTGGAGGAAGTACCAGATCCTTTACTTAAGTAGAAGTACTCTACTAAAGTATTAAATACCACACTGTAAAACTACTCTGTTACTAGTAGAAGTCCTGCATTGAAGGGAGCTGAAAATATGAATCGAAGTGTTTTTGTTACCTTGTAATGAGCCGTTAATATCTACATAGGGAGCGGGCCCTTGTCTAAGGAGAATGCCATGTTGCACCGCCATGTTTTTACAGAAGCCCAGGTTGGACAAACCAAACAGTGGTTCTAGATAGGGCCATTAGTGGTTTCATCGTAGTTAGCAGCCCCTCAATGAAAAGAGCGTCAAAAAAGAGATTTTTTTTTTAACTTGAAACTGCTTTACTGGGTGTGTTTGTTTTGGAGAGGAAGACCTCTGCAGATAATTCAGCTCCCGCTAAAACCTCCTGAACGTCTGGATCTTAAGTCATCAGAGAAAAGGGTGAGCACATATTAGCAGGTACTGGGCTAGCGGCTCATCTGCGACATACCGAACAGCGGCAGAGAAACACTGATTTGTAACGTGAAACTGCTTTATTCAGTGTTTTTACTGGTTTTAATCACACGGGGTCTCATTTAAAAAACAGTGCGTAGGATCCACACCAGAGATGTACGTAGACCAAGTGGCAAACTCCAGGGATGACGAGTGAAGCCAATGCGAAAGTGCCAAAAACTGCAGTTCGTTGAATGGCCACTTAAGGCAGGCAATCCCCATAGACCCCCATGTTAAAATGCTCAGCTTTACAGTAGAAATAAACATGTTTACAGCCTGGTACAAAAAACGGTTTTGGTCTCTATAGCTAATTTCCCCTTTCATGACAGCTGTGCGGGGGTGAATTTTTTTAATAACTCATCCATTTAAATTTTATTAAGGCTTAAAATTGTGCATAATTAAGGGCATGGTCACTTTGAGTGACAGGTGGCACCATCACAGGTGGCTAACTAGCCGCTGGCTGTCTGCTAGGTGTCATCTCAGCTAATTCGCAAGTCATTGAACCTGACCTCTCAGCCGTGTTTGTGCCTTTTGGATATTTTGTTTCGTGAGGGAGCTGGCACCAAGCGGGAGCATGAACGGGAGCAGCCAACACCACAGGGCTAGCCAAAGTAGCGTAGCTTGTTAGCCTAGCTTGTTAGCCTTAGCAAATTTAGCAGCTTTGAGCGAGGTGTGTTTACGCAACCAGGCTTCATTTGGCCCACCTCTTTGCCCATTTTTGATTGGCCGGGAGTTGGGGGGAGTCAGGCACTGCCAAGATGGCGACGGTCAGAGACGCCTACTTTGAGCTTCAAACCCGCTAACTCAGAAACCAATGGGTGACGTCACGGTGACTACATCCATATTTTTATACAGTCTATGGTATAGACCAAAGTCAAAAATGGTGTGCGCCAAAAAATATTCAACAATTTCCACAATCAGGCTTCCACCTCACTATCGGTGTCTTCAATTTTCCATCTCTAAAATGTTCATAAGCATGGGTCAAAGTTTCTCCCATCAAGTCTGCTTTTATAGATAACAACTTTTGTTTTGGCCTATGCCACTTTCAGGCCTTGTTTTGTGCATACACAATAGGGGCGGCCTCGAGCTCAGTGAGTACCTCAGCGTCTGCCCTGTCCTTTGCAGCGGCCCAGGTTCGATTCCAGTCTGCGGCCCTTTGCTGTGTGTCATCCCCATTCTCTCTCCTCTTTCCCTGTCACTTTTCAGCTACTCTAACTAAAGGTGATAAAAAGCCCAAAAAATAATCTTTAGAAAAAGTGGACCCCTGGTCTGTTTGTTTTGGAGTTGAAGAGACCTCTGTGGGTAATCTGGCTTCCATAATTCTAACAGAGAGAGGTTTTTCAGCTGGTTGCAATCTCCAAACCTCACAGCTAGATGCCACTAAATCGTACACAGACTGGTAGGACCTTAAGACCTTAAAGTTAAAGTATGTATCGAGAAAATATATTCACCAGTAATGTTGGTGAAGATTCTCAGTCATCCAGGTCATGGTAATCTTAAGTGCTATGTCCCCATTCCCATCCACACCTGGACCCATCTAACCCTAACGACACACCAGGGTGTCCAGGGTGGGTCAGCGACTCACAGGTGACCTTAACGACTCTGCAAGGGTTCACACCCACACTGAGGTTAGAGGCTGCTACTTTGAACCACTCTAAAAAACGAAATTTTCGTGAAAACCACGTCGCTAAATAGCTAAAACACTATACTGCTGGAAACATTGTTCAGTCATTATATAATCCCTGGCTTTATTTCATATGTGATTATTATGGATGATGTCCAAAAATACTCCTAACAGCATGTGGGAGGTGTTGGTACCTGTGTAAGAGTACATTCCACCCCACACCTATGAATCACCTGAGATGTGCTCAGACTTGCTGTGGTCTCTCCTCCAAAGGACTTTAATAACTCCCTATCACACACTCTATGTCTCTGCCTCTCTATCAAGCTGATGTGGGCTCCAGGCTATTATGAAAAATAAACTCACCAGTCAACAGTTACACACCGCTCTGAGCCTCTGGTTTACCAGGGAGGTGAAAATACCCGAGTGCCGCGGTCCAAACCCCCAGCTCAAATTACTGTTGTTACATCAAACATCTCCTTTGGTCACGATAATAATAACCGCATCTCTGGGGGAAAACAAGGCCTGTGACGCTCGAGAGTGCATGGAAACAGAGGGGCACAGAGCCCTGAAATACAACGCCACAGAGAAGCTCATAGCTCATGGTTGACCATTTTAATCTCCCCCCTCATTCATCAGATCCCCCACTATGTGGAGCTGCTGCCAGGGACCCTCATCTCCCCCTCACACACACACACACACACAGTGCCACAGACCCTGGGAAGCAGCCAGACCTGCAATGAAGGAGGGTCATTGGAGGGTCAGAGCAGGAGCAGCCGTGTTACTTTTGCACATGCATGTGCAGAAGTAACACATCTACAGGTGATAGGACAGGAATTTGGAAACAAATAAGACACAGGATTACTTTAACAGCCACTGACTACTTAATATGTAAAGTTAAACAACAGTGAATTCTTTGAAAACCATACATCTGAATTTATTTGCTCTGATCATAGACTGTACAAAATAATGGACGTAACCTCAGGATCGGCACTTTTTTTTAGAGCTTGAAATGATCATATTTGGACAAGAAGTTGGCGTTGTGGAGGAGCGAGGGGTGGATCTGACTGAGAAGCCAAGAACACTATCGGCCGACAGCCTGTCACTGAAGAACTGCCTGCCCTAAATTATGGTAACTTTAAGCCTCAATAAAAAGTAACTGAGTGAGTCATAAAAAATACATTAAAAAAGTACAGTTGTCATGAAGGGGGAAATTAGCTATAGAGACCAAAAGCGTTTTCGTACGAGGCTGTAAACATACTTATTACTGTTGTTAGGTCGGGCATTTTAACATGGGGGTCTATGGGGATTGACTGGCCTCTGGAGCCAGCCTCAAGAGGCCATGAGAGGAACTGCAGTTTTTGGCATTTCCGTGTTTGCTTTATTTTTCAGGCCTGGAGGTTGATGCTTGGTTCCGAATTTACGTCTTTGAAATGAAAATAAGAAATTTCTTGATTTGCAATTTTAAAAAAAGAAAATTTAACGTTTTTTTTTTTTTTTTTCCAATGTTCAAATTCAGATCTTAAAATTCAAGTTTCATTAAACAAACAAACAAAAAAGATTCAGGTTGCTCAAATTGAATTGGTCAAATTTAGGCCTAAAAATTCAAGTTGAAAAAAATTCTCAGCCACTCAAGATTGGATATAACCTTGAAATCCAGATGCCCCGCCCCTAGCAAATTTGAATTCGCTCTGCACGGGGATCTGGCCCCAACGAGCAGAGCCCATTGAATCGCCTATTGGACCAATCAGATCAGTCTATCTGATAGAAGTTTTTGCCGTTTTGCCGACGGGATACGGCAAAAGCATAAAAGCTATCCAATAGCGTGTGGTGGCATTTAATATGCCTCAGTTAGTGCTGCCCCTTGGTTAGGGTGTATCGGTGAGGGCCAGACTCAAAATCTCTCTAGATTTGAGTCTGGATTTCCAGGCTAGACTGGATAGGCAACTGAGCCTGAACGTTTTTAACAAATGAAGTGACCAATATTCTATTTGATTTTTTTTTTTTTTGTTTTGTTTAAAATTTTGAATATGAGTTTTGACCAATCAAATTTGTGCAACGTGATTCTAATGTTTCAAATTATGGAACTAAAATTTTTGGATCTGAATTTGTGAACAAAAAAAAACTTTCCAAAATTCAGCTTTTGAAACTGCAAATCAAGAAATTTTACATTAGTGTCAAAGAAGTGAGTTCAGAACACAAATTCAGATACATGGTTTTTCAAAGTAAAATATTTAAATTTATATAAACAGTGGTATTTAAATCTCAATGTTTAATACTCTACAGCAGTTATCAAAATTCAAATGTCTCTTATTTGCTTCCACACGGTAAGCACTTTGTTGTGTTAACAATCTGCACACACACGCCATTTTCAAGAACACACTGATCTCGAGATACAGTTTGTCTTCTTTTAATAACAAAACAATCAACAATATAAAAAAGTATGTGATGACAACCATAATAAAATACTTAAACTGCTATGGCAACAAAAAACATTCACAAATCTTTCAACATATCCGCCATTTTTTTCAGCTTTTAATACAAACTATATTCACTACACTCTGCAACCTAAATGATAGAGAGTAAATTTAGGAGGCATACAGCTACAGTACATAGCTATGTGTTAAGACTTGAAGACAACCAAGACAAGGCCTTGAGTTTGAAACAATGCTACTGAGTTGGTCATCTGTCTTACAATATATCTGGCTCTGGGTTGTGTGTACACATTTAGGATTCAGGCGAGGGCACATAAATAGATGTTTGCAGACATGCTCAAAAAGAAATCAAACACACTGAATCGCTTTGAATATAATGCCATGCTTCTGATTTTTATGACCGGTAAATCACACATAAATGATTAGATTACTATGTAACAAAATGGGATTTTAAACTCTTGATCGTAGCCCGAGTCTCTGTAGTAGGTTACACATGTCTCTTTATTTTGCTGGAAATGTAAACAGTCACAAAAACAAGTCCGAGGAACCGAAATGCTTCAGTTGAGCAATCACGTTAAACATCATACCTAAAGCCAGGATACAAATTTTCTGTAATTACTTGAGTAAAGGCGATGATGCAAAGTGTTGCAGGGACTTCCTTTGACGAACAGAAATGTCAGAGTTTATCGGTAAACTTTTATATTTTCTACAGGAACTCAGAGAGTCAATTTCAGACGCTGGGGGTGGGCTGAGCCTGCTGAGGGTTGCTGGCAGCCGTGGGAGTGGCCTGTCGGGGAAGTGTGTACATGGCACCCAGGAACTGGTCTGCGATGCGTCCGGCCTCGCGCAGCCCGCTGAGCAGCGCGCCGTGAACTGTAGCGGGGTAATTCCTGATCGTGTGCTCCCCGGAGAAGAAGAGACGAGGGACGGGCTGAGGAGGAAAAAGAAAAGCCACATTGAGACTGAGGCTGGGTTGTGCCGACATGATGGGGAATTAAAGCAAACAGGGGGTTGGTGAGAAAAGAAAAAAGTGTGGTAGTAAGCTGCCAGGTCTAATCAGTCAACACATAAATATGACTCAATCAGCGTGCCAACTTTAAAACATCTGTGTGGGGAGTAGACTGCTCTGCTTTGCTTTGGTTAAGTATGGTGGGCAGGCTGGGATGCCTTTCTCACACACACACACACACACACACACACACATTCTCATCCAAACAAAACTCAACACCATGATTCTGTAATGTGTGTGTGCGTGTACCTGTGAGGCTCCCGGTATAGCAGGTCCAGGCGTGATAGGCTGCGCCATCAGGTCGTAGTCGTTACCCGAAGAACCTGCCGCAACATATGAGTAGGAGCCCCGTGCCCAGGGGTCCGCACGCCAACGAGTGACCACAGTCTCCTTTGGCTGCCATGACGACAAACAACAACACATACTTCTTAGGGGTTTCCATGATGATATTAGAGGGACCTGTAAACAGCTGGATGGCGAACAGTTCCAACGCTGGCCTCCATGCATATGATTTTATCCCATTCGAAACCATAAGCAAATGATTTATAATGACGGGTGGTTTGGATACGACTTTCACATGTGCTCTGCTCGCTGTGTAAAGTTCTGCTGGCTATGGGGGTCGACTCAGGAACAGACTTGACATTCCGCTCAAAATAGTGGAAAACCCAGAGAAAACACTAATGATGGAGCTTAGAAACTATAACCCACCACTACTTTTCTGTAAACAACAAACATAATACAGATGTATTTGAACAGAACTGCCAGCTATGTCTAATTGTGAGGACATCATGTTCCAGAGGGATATACAATTTGGTACATGGGCTTGGGGTTAAATTAAAGTAGAACTAAAAGTGAAAAAAGGAAAAAACTCAACATGGACTGGAAATATCACCCAAGTGTGTGAGTCTTTGATAGGCAATAGGTTGCATCTTATGTGACAGTCTAATGACGATAAGCTTCTGGGGGCAACTGCCAATGTTTCAGACACTCTGGTGTAGCATGCAGATATCCAGACCAAAACTTCCTCTTTTATATGCCGGTCTTTTCAGCTAATCTCTTTAAACAGGTATTTGCAAATAAATGCAGATAAATACATTTTTTAAAAAAGCTAATATAAAGCCAAATTATCGTCAGATGATAGCCGATGTGTTCTACGACTGCATTTCGGATAATGTGTTTGCTTCTCAACACACTGTTTACTAGGGGTGGGTATCAACCAGAGGCCATTTTATACGATAATATCACCATACATAAGTAACAATACAATATCATTGCGATTTTAATGTTACAATATGCTGAATGTTGCGATAAAACATATTTAGTTTTATTGAATAAAATAAACTAGTCTGTTCATCTCACTTCTGTCGTTTTACTGCAGCAAAAACTGAATAAATAACTTTCTTATTATATAATTTCAGTGGGATACCAAAAGTTTCATTTGTATATTGATAATTGATATAATTTAAAAAAAATCGATACTTAGTGTGCATGTAACGATACAATATTGTCACACAAAAATATTGCGATACTATGTTCTATCAATTTTTTCCCCCATCCCCTACTTTTTACCTGTTGCTACAATGCCACAAGTCAGTACTACTCAGCCGAGGTGGGGCCGAGTCGATTTTTTGCAAGTCACAAGTAAGTCTCAAGTCAATGCACTCAAGCCCTAAGACAAGACACGCAAGTCTCAAGTCCTCAACTCTGAGTTTGGAGTTCTAAACAAGTCTTAAAACACTCTTCACCAAATGTAACGCCATTTTAACAACAGAGAAATACTATGTTAAATTTTTTTTTTTTTTTAATTTGTTAAAGCAAGTGCGACTGATCTGATTTTTTTTTTTTGTGCTGACATTGCATTTTCACAGCACTGTTAACCAGCACCACAACAGAATGAATTTTGTTTCTGTCCTGTCTTGTTGTATTTAACTCATATCATATTGGAAAAACTGTCTATAACTTTCTCTTTCCGAATTTGTAGGACATTTCTTGTTATACAAGTCATCCTTTAAATTCATATTGTATGATGTTGCATGTTTTATGTCTACATGGAAAAAAAAGAAGGGAAATGAACTGATTCCTGGCATACTTTTTAAAAAAAACATATTTTATTTTTTTGTTAAGTCAAGTCTAAAGTCATCAAATTTAAGAGTCTGATTCAGGTTGACTTGAGGTTAGGTCATGTGACTTGAGTCCACACCTCTACTACTTGAACTATAAACCAATACCAAAACGCTTCTGATACCAAAATCTTGTCCTGCTGCCTACAGATTCAGCACACATATGCAGCTATCTGTTTAAGAGTTTATAAATGAAGCACAAATGGTTTACCTGTGGTACAGCGCTACTTCCAAATATTCCTTTGAGAATGGCCAGGCAGCGTCCGACAATCACGTCATCACTGATGTTCTCCATGATGCCAGCGGCCTCACCTGCCATCAGAGCAAGTAGGATCGGGGCTGAAAAGAGCAAAGGCACGTTGTTAGAGACTTGTTATGAATGCAGAGATCAGACACTTTAATTTGATGCTTTCAAGAGCTTATTTTTGGACAAATCATGTTTTTCTTATTTAAGCATTGCAGGTAACTAGTATGCCGTGTATGTAACCCCACGCAGAGGTAGTTTTTTATGTAGGATATATATGGTTATTAGAGTGAGTAAGGTCTACATTTAGCCAACAGGTAAGTGCAAGTTTAAAGTAAGAAGACAGTGTGAGGTGAAAGTTTAAAGATGTAATTTGATTAAATGTTTGTAGCATCAAAACCTCACACACATCCTGGAATGTATGAGAGAAGAAAACGGGCGTATACTGACAGGAAATATGTCTCAATACCACATCGCTCTGCAAGGTGAAACTAAAAGGCATCTCTTGTCACCTTTGTAGAGGTTCCAGAAGAGGAAAAGTTCGCCCCGACTTGCTGTGGTGGAGCCGACGTGACCAAACAGGTTGACACTGGGATCCCAGAAGACGCGGTCAAAACACAGCACCACCTTCAGACAGGGAGGAGCACAACGTAAGAACACTCACACACCAATCACAGTGCTCATTTCAATCAAAGGCTCCACTGCCTGTTGAAGCACATCTCAGGTTCAACACATTTACCTCCATCATTTATAGATATGAATGTGTGTATGATACAGCGCCCTCTGCTGGAGACTCAGCGTTAGTAGCAGCTCAGATTGCATAATAATGCAGTATTCTCCTCAGTGCTGCAGCAGAATTAGGAGATAAACTACTCTGCTGCAGATGATGCTCGGCAACAGAGGGAGAGCGCGAGAGCTGGTGGGTCAGGAGTGACGCAGAGTGAGCACTCTGATCGGATTACTGACACACTGGCAAAAAAAAAGCACCTTTCATTTGCACGCCATCTGACTGCCTCTACACTCCTATACTTCACACATATCCCATGCCACCCTTTCGATCCAACTCTCCATCCTAAATCCGAGCCCAGATGTAAGCCAGGATACAGCAGAATCCCCTTAGGCATGGAACACAGTCATTTTCTGACTATTCATTGTTTTTTGGCGCTCTCCCACTGAAGGTCAAGTTCCTAGCGTAAGGACACTGCAGCAGAACGAGAAACAGGAGGTCTCTCTAAGGAATAAAATCCTCAGTCCTGCTGGAAGCACACTACATGATTTAAAACCTGACTTGAACTCTGCTTTTAACACTGTTACTCATTTCAAGACTGGATGGTTTGCACTGGACTGCACAACATGTGACAATCACACTTAGCACACCTTGTCCTGTAGTGGGTGTTAGGACTGGGCGATATGACGGTATATACTATGAGACTGTAGAAGTGTGTCAACTGGCAGAGATCTGGCATTACTATTTCTACTGCTGAGTTATTCATGGCTGGATTCTGTTTGTACTGGAGTGTGATGTTGCAGCTTGAAACACTTGAAATTATTGTTCTCAAGAACCTTTAAGCTTCCGTTTTGAAAGAATTTTAGCTTTGCTGTTATGAGTCCTTTTAACTCAAGATTTTAGTCATGTTGCCCATCCCGAGTGGACGGGGGTTGGCACTAAAGTCTCTGGCCTCTAGGGCTGCCACGATTAGTCGACTAATCGATGACTAATCGACTATTAAAATAATCGGTGACTATTTTAGTAGTCGACTAATCGGTTTGAGTCATTTTTCATAGAAAAGCACTATAAAAGTACCCCAAAATACTCTTACTGCAGCTTCTTACGTTCAGATATTGGCAGCTTTACACACTCTCCCGTGACAGTGAACTAAAACCCTTTGGCATGAGTACGAAACAAGACATTAGATGATGTAATTTTGGGGTTTGGGCGAGACAGACCGTCATTCTTCAACATTTTAATACATTTTTCGATGAAATGATTAGTCAACTAATCGAAGAAATAATCGACAGATTAGTCGACAATGAAAATAATCGTTAGTGGCAGCCCTACTGGCCTCCCATTTAAACGTCAGAATACTCAGGACTGTCTTGACTATATCAAATGTGTTGAAGTTTTACAACCAGTCTGGACAAATCAGAATGAGATCCTTAAGTTTGGTGAACTGGATAGGGATAACGGGATAGAAGTACTGAAGCTCTGTCTGATAAATGCTAAACATCATACCTTGTTGAGGTTGCCAAAGCCCATTCTCTGTATAGCAGACGTCTTCCACTCAGGCAGCGGAGGAACAAACTGCACAGCGGGGGGCTGCTGCTTCAACACGCCGAGAGGAAGGGTGCACAGCACGGCGTCACACTTGTATATGAAGGTCTGGGTCGTGGACCGAGTGTTGACTGCGATCACCTCGCAGCCTGGAGAAAGAACACATGAAGAAGTGTTTAAACGGACACTGTACATCCATATGAACATCGATAATGAAAACCAAAGTGGCGGAAGAACGTACCAGAGGCTGTGTACCGGACCTGCCGCACCGCTGTGTTTAGTTTGATGTCTAAGCCTTCAGCCAGGGCCACGGGGACACAAGAGTAACCATTTCTTACTGTCAGGTGGCTGCCAGTGAACTCAAAGTCATCATCCTGTGGATAAATAAATAACATGTTATGGCAGAGGTAGTTAAACTAAGAAGAAGAAGATATACTTTATTAATCCCCAAGGGAAATTAAATTCTTTCCACTCCGTCATATACACACACAGGCCTGAAATACACACACATGCATAAACAGGACCTATACATGCATTAAATGGGCACCTCTCCAGCTACTGGTCCATGCTTCATACTCGGTCCCTATGGGGACTTGAACCTGCGACCCTCCAGTTCCCAAGCCAAGTCCCTACGGACTGAGCAACTGCCACCCCAGTAAACTAGCAAGAACTTTTTACACACGTGACCGTAAAAGGCCCAAGGGTCTTTGTAGTGCAAGACCATTGTCAGCACTACACGCTTATGACACTATAAAATAAGTACGTGTATATACCTGATCCCAATGCTTGAGTGAAAGGGTGGAGAGGGGTGTAGCGTTGGCAAACTCCAAGTTGGCAAAGTGCCAGTCGAGGATCTGCCGATCCCTGGATGACAGGTAAACATCACTGTGGGAAAGAAGGGAAGGAAAGCGATGTTGTGATGCATACTGACAGCTATTCAAGCATCAGAGGAACAGGTTCACTCATGCACAAGTGAGAGCTTAACTCAAACTGGTGCCAACGTCATAATACATATTTGAACATAGCATTAACTGGAACTTTAAAAAGAAAATTGGCAAATTGCCACAGGACATACACAGGTAAACATGTGTTGCTAAGGGCTGCGGGCCTCCAGCATGCAATTATCTTTTATTACCTATAAGTACAAACTATTTTCACTCCAGCACATGAGCCAATATTGCTTCAACAAAAACCAGTCCAGCATACTTAGTCTGGATGGCTCCTGATTAGAACAATTAATAAAGAAGTCTTCGGGAGATGTGCAGCAGTTACATCACAGGCTAATACACTGATCCAAAGCAGACCAACAAGCTGCTGCTGCTAACTCTGTTCCTCGCTGGAGTCAAATAAGTGCTTCACGCAGTTATTCATTACACTGAACCTTTCCACACCCTGGGATGTTTGTGCCTCAGGTTCTCAAATATACAAGTTTTACTGATGAGAAAAAAATGTCTTTGGATCGCCCTGGGGCACAGCAACCGTTTACCAAAGAGAAACACATGTTCGAAATACAAGCCGACATCTCTAATGACAAAACAGAGCTGGGAAGAATGACAGAAATATGTTTGGTGTTATTTTACTATTGTCCAGTAATGATATATCTACACTATCACATATTAATAAGGTATGTATTTTCCCTCTCATAATAAATTGTGATTAAATAAAGAGTGATTCAACCATTAAACAAAAGAAAATTAGCATGCAAAGAAAAGACAGATGATTAAATAAAGCCACAACACACTCATCCCTCTCTACTGTGCATTTCAACTAAAGTGATACCAAATTAAAAGAGAAGGAGTGGCAGCAGCAGTTGAGGTTTACACTGAACCTTCAGATGGATTAGTTACCTGGGTGGATTGGCCTCCAGCTCCTGCAGCTTCTCCTCCAGCTTGACCTGCATCTCCACCAACTCATCATACTCCTACACAGGGACACAGGCAGACAGTGAGGAGATGCAACTCATGCATCACTGCTGAGAAATATTGATACAATAGCAATTATTTTATTTTTGAGTATTTGTGATCATCAATATTTATCACAATTAAAACTATGAGCTACAACTTAAAAAGTAATTGAGAAGCAAAACTACTTGGCATATTTTATCAATGTCTTGACAATTTTAAACTACAACTCACAATTAAGATTAGAGGTGTACCGACTGGACGATGAACTGATAGTCCATTGAAAGAAAATTTATCACCAAATATTTTGGTAATCGATTCATTGTTGGAGTCATTTTTAAAGCAAACATGTCAAATATTCGATGGTTCCAGCTTCTTAAATGTGACAATTTGTTGCCCTCTTTTTGGTCACTTATGAGAGTATGAGGGTTCCTCGAGTGCGGAGTTTGCATGTTCTCCCTGTGTCAGTGTGGGTTTTCTCTGGGTACTCCAGCTTCCTCCCACAGTCCAAAGACACGCAGGTTAATTGGTGACTCTAAATTGACTGTAGGTGCGAATGTGAGTGTGAATGGTTGTCTGTCTCTATGTATCAGCCCTGTGATAGTCTGGTGACCTGTCCAGGGTGTACCCCGCCTCTCACCCACTGTCAGCTGGGATAGGCTCCAGCCCCCCCATGACCCTTAACAGGATAAGTGGTTCCAGAAAATGAATGAATGAAGGATAGTAAATGAAGAGTCTTCGGGTTTTGGACAAAGTAAAGATGTCATTTTAGGTTCTAGGAAACTGTGATGTGCATTTTTCACTATTTTGACATCTTTAAGATAAAATGATTAATCAATTAATCATGAAAATAATCGGCAGTTTAATCAATAAGGAAAATAATCATTAGTTGCAGCCCTAATTAAGATGTATTTTCGTGTTACAGTACTGCTAATGTGCTAACATTTTACAATTATATAACGATATTTCACATCAAACTGAAGTGCTGTCAGACTTCAGGGGCCCTGTCTCTAACCAGGTGAGCATGTGTTGCATGCATGTGCGTGTGTGTGTCCAAGGTACACACCCAGAGGGTTTCAGGTCATGTAGAAAGGACACACAGTCTTGACGGAAAGGGCTGACTCAACCTGTTCATCAGGTCACCACAACAGAACCAACTACAGCAGCAACACGGAGTCTGGTAATACCACCTACAGCGTCAGCCCCCAGGACACAGCTTGACTGAGCCAAGTCTAGAAAAATTTACATCCTAATGATGCCTCCGAGCTAGTCAGCAAGCTGACCTGGGAAAATACTACAAACGGCAAGAATACTGGAAAATATCCCAGCATAAATATCCTGACGCAGCCTTAAAGTCTTGTTATATGGTGTAGTCATGCATGTCATGAGCGCACACACACACACACACACACACACACACTCTTAAATGCTCATTCTGTCTTGTGTGTGTGTGTACATCCGCAGACATACAGAAAGTCAGACTGTGATTCAAAAGCCTTCAAGTGGTTTCTCAAACAGCGGATGGGTCACAGACAAATTCAGCTCAGACACCAGCTGTGTTTAAACCAACTAAAACCTCCTTCTAAAATACACACATAGCAGTAGTGGAGGTGATTTATCTGAAGCAAAAATAAAACAGCAGCGCTCGCTCTAATAATACATCCTACCGAGGCATTAAACCACTTAAACACAGCCTGTCTGGTTTACTTAGAGAGCACGGCATTAAAATTCTGTCAGGCATCCACCCTGACCTAGTAAACCATAAAATATCCATTTTACATGCTGGTATTTCTGCATTATAATACCACTGCAAATGATTTGATCTTTAAATTAAATGTTTCTGTCCTGCAAATTGTGGTGGTCGAACCTTCTGACCTGCAGGTACACCTAGTAATCAACAAAGGAAACATGATATTGCTTCAAAGTAGTTCAAACTACAGCATCAGTCACTACGTAACACCCACAACACCACAAACATAGTTGGAAATAGTTAGCTTTAAACTTAACTGCCTTGACATGAGTATTTTAAGTCCTGCAGCCTGATAGTAATGAAAGAGTCACACAGGAGTCTGTTCTGGATGACAACCTGTCTACATAACTGCCCACAGCTTGTAAATATTTGTACGAAGTGTAAAATGATGTAAGAGCTCTATTGTAACTTTCTCCTGTCACTCTTCAGCTGTTTGATGATCACATATCTATTTCTTTTCCTCAAATAGTGCCTGAGCTCACTTTGCAGAGCGCGGTAAGGTCGCGGTGCTTGCTCTTCACCAGGAACTCAGCTGTGATATCTCTGGGTGGTTTGACTTCACTGGCTTCTTTATACTGCTGATGGAGCTCCTTCACCCGCTCCTTAGTGGTCACCATCTACAGAGGAGAGACGGGGAAAGAGAGGAAGGAAGTCAGAAGATGATGGTGGATGAAAGGAAAGAAAATTCACTGTGTGCTCCAGTTCCCATACTACAATACTGGTGAGTATGCCAGAAAAAAAGTAGCATGTCCCAATACAAAATATGTCAAATGCAGTACACAAAAAATACCAGGATGTTCTACTACGTTCGGTCACATTTTGCAGTATGTAAGCTAGCATGCTTTTCTGGCTATTTTGACCCACAATCCTCTGCACAGTCACACCAACTGAGCTGCATACATCTGACAGCTTGACAGCTCACTGACATCTGACAGAAGCCGCAATGATGGATGACACAGCATTCAAGTGAGTGATGACCAGTCGAATAGATAGTAATCATAGGAACTGTTTAAGATAATAACTATGACATTAGCAACGTCACTGTTGTGCAAATAATACTGCATGTTAGAATCTACAATGTATGCAGTTATAACCTAAAAGTTAAAACTACATACACTGCAGAGTAACAACAGCAGAGCTCTCCAGGTCAATCTCCATCTTTGGCGAGCTCATAGAAAAGCATTGTTTTGTTGTACCTCTGAGGTAACGTTAAGTGCTAACATTAAAATATGCTGTGTTCGAAATCGCATACTTTTCCTTTTCTCTGCAAATTTCGCACTACAGACTGCACTGGATATATGAGCCAGAGGGTCAAAGTTAAAGACGGATGCTTTGTAAAGATAGCTGCAGCACTTACTGAAAGTAAAAAGAAGAAGTATGTGATTCAGAACACAGAGTCAGTATCAATAAAGTGATTATGTTGTTGAAACTCAACACCCATAATTGGCCTCTGAGTCAGGTTTACTGCCTTATTTAGGGTCAACTTGCAACTCGGCTTTGAGTGCCTGAAATTTTGCACATCAATCTGAAACTGAAACCATTAACGTTCCAGTCTAAAACCTGTTTTTCTTACAGTAACGACACTCTAAGACTGCCATCAGCTCTGTCACCAGTTTACAAGAAGCGTACTCCATCTTTAAGCTCTCTAATTTCTCTCCCAATTAAGCAAACATAACTGACAAGCTAACTGACAGGTGTTTGCCAACTTTGAGCAGTAATGAAATGTTGACGGCCCTTCTCTTTTTCCTTCAGACACATAGACTGCAAAAAAGAAGTGGACGTAGCCACTGTGACATCACCCACTGGTATGTAAGCTACTGTTTTGAATCCTTGGGTTTGGCATTTTGGCTGTCCCCATCTTGTTTTTCTGGATAGCATACACAATGCTACGCCTCTATCCTGATTGACAAGCTGCAATGGTAGGAACCTGTCAATCACAAGGTAGCCATTATTGATTATTTTACCCTGAATGGGACAATAATTTACAAAATGAACACATGAAACTAACCAACCAGTGGGGTCGCCTCCTGCTGGCCATTAGACAGAATGCAGGTTTGAGGCACTTGGCATGGGCTTCACTTATCAGACCAGAAGGCTACGTCCATTATTTTGTCTCGATTCAAATATGACAGAAGAAAATGAAAATGAAAAGTTTTTTTTGTCACTTTTAAAGGTTTCCCTGTCAGTCGTCTTAAAGGATAGCTCAACACTTTCAAGTGTTGTAGCACTGTTCTGGAAGCACCAACTTGACAGCACAACAACTTTACTTGTCCTCACCTTGTTGAGAAGATCCCTGAGTTCTTCCTGAGTCTTCACAATCTTCTTCCAGTGCTCTATCTGCTCATCTTTCACATGCTTTTCCTGCAACCTACACACACACACAGACACAAGATTGGGATTAGCATATTTGTGTGTATCTGTATACATCTCTTCTTTGGGTACAGGATACACATGTCACCATCTCCCACATGTGTGCCATACTCACTGTATAACCACCTCCAGGGCCTGACCCAGAGAAACAGGTTTGTTGTTGAGGAAGTTAAAGTCCAGCTGGTGGCTGAGGAAGGAGGTGGCCTCCAGCAATCTGTTGAACTCCTGCTCCACCATCTCGTCTTTTTCTTTTGGCACCTGGACACACAATCAAACAACAAGGCCATTGGACCATCGGTCACTCCAATGACAAATTGATGACATTTATACATCACTCCAGTGTCTATTTCTTCTCTTACTGGGACAAGAATTTAACCCACTAATTCACGTCTATAAACAGAGAAAGCATTGGTGGGGAATGTATTACATAAACAAACCAATACTTACACTCGTGCATCGTTCACCCTTGAGTAGTCCACCAAAGGACGAACATGGAGGAGGTGCAGAGACAAGAGGGAAGGGGAGACAGAGAGAACATGTTAGGTAAACACATCTGTAACCTTAAACAGGTTTTCACCAACTAAAACATGTACATTTAATTTGCCTTTTCCTGCAGAGGAGGAAACCAATTACACATGATGTGGATGCTTCAAGAGCCCTGCTGGCTAGTCTCTACTTCAATGGAGGTGCCCCGCACATGAACCTAAACATCCTACTACTGTTGCTGCCACTTGACAGACAGAACAAAAACGCAAAGGGAAAACACTGTTTATTTCCAATCTAATGACATTAGGCCATATCTGTTTTCTAGTGCGCTTTGTTCTGAGAGGAACTGGAGCCGTTGTTGATGACACGCAAGGGTAAGCAGTTAAATGGATTCACCGTTCATTGTGTTTTTTTGTGGCTCATGGAAAACCAGATCTCTGCCTCAGGACAATAGCAAGGCTTAGAGAACAACTGTAAGACCAAACACAGAGCACTTCTATGCCATGAGGGAACTCTTGTGCATAAGTAAACATCTTCTGGTAAAGGAAGTAAACAACACAAGGTCTGGGTTTTAAAAATGTAATCTGGGCACACATATCTAACGCAGATGTTTGTAAGTGAACTTGACCTGTGGCATCGCTAAAACTGTCAGAATGACTGAAGCAGGTACATATTTTTCAGGCAGCAGATGGCTGGAATCAATCACATGCATGGTCTAGCTGCCATTAACCTCTTTGCCATTTATCAAACTGTAATTTCTTGGCTTTCAGAGCAGCTTTTTTGTTGCAAAAAACAGTCAACAACAGAATATTAAGCCTTTGACAGCTACAGTAAATACTTAATCATCTCTGCATCTACTTGTTTAATATGAAAACATCCTGAGGAGCCTGGCAATGGCAGCATAATGGATGAGAGCCAACTCAGTTTACCGATTAAGAAATGTCATACTCACAGCCTGGCCATTGGCTTCATAGAGTGGACACTTCTGTTTTATCTTGGCCAGCTCCATGTTAACCTGCTTGCTGATCACTGCCATGGGATTCCCTCCTGAACAGGCACACACACAATTATCAGTGACACACATACATGGACAATAACACCATCTACAGGTAGACTTTAGTAACTGTGGAGCCTCTGAGAAATGTTATCTGACTTATTAAAGGATGCTTTGACTTGTCACTGTTGTAAATGACTTCAGTATGGGGCTGAAACAGTATAAGATTTTTAAGGTATAATACCTTCTCAGAGGAAAAAACAAACAAAAAAACAATCACAATTTTACAGTATATAATATTACATAATTAGAATAATCATTATTATCAGTACAATGTCTTTTTAGGAATTAAAACATTTGTTTTTGGTGAACAAATGGTTTATTATAAATCAAACTTGAGATCCTCCATCCAGTTTTTATTCATTCAAATGTACATGGTATGATAAACATCAATTTTTGTAACCTGGTATACAGTTTAATGGTGTACATGTGCTACCCTCAGTATTCACATAAAAATCACTGAATCTTACCCAGTCCTGTCACCACCATGGCACCGAGATCAGCAACATAGTTCCCCTTCCTAAATGTGGCCACTCTGCCTCCAACACGGTCCTGCATGGAAAAAATAAGTCAAATTATTTCTACAATAACTTGGTAAACTTGTCAAAATTCTAAACTTATAAAATTAGTAAGGTTATTTTAGTTCACTCGATTGGTTATCATATAAACCCTTAGAAAACATATGTATACCTTAATATATAGAGTGTATGGGGGTGGCTCTTACCTCACACTTATTAATTATAAAAATACAGTTTATTTGTTATAATCACAAAATGATTTATACCAATAGCTAGTAAGTAAAATGTGACAAAACCCAAAACATCGGTATATGTAAAATGACAGATCCTGCTGGTGACCTACCCTGGCCTCCAGTACTGTAACATCCATTCCGAAGCTCTGCAGCTGCCTGGCTGCAGCTAACCCGGACACACCTCCACCAATGACGATAACCTTCCCAGTCTTCTTAGCTGCGACAACACGCAGGGAAAACATTAACTGGGTATCTTTACACCACTGACCATTCCCAGGTCAGTGTTTCTGAATGGTTCTGAAATGAATCACTTTGGCTAATTGCTGGTGTTATTTTACTGGTGCAATAAATGAAGTGAACTTACTTGGTAAAGGCTTGACCCTCTTGTAAATGCCAAAGTTAATGAGACCGTGCCTTTCTAAGTAGCTGTGTATCCTATGGACCAGCACTGCATCACCTAAAAAGAGAACCAAAAAAAAAAAAATCTCAACTTCTGCACGACTACAATCTTCTAGCAGAAAGAAACTAAAGTTTACAAAATAAATTTGAAATAAAGTACAATTTAATGTCTCACTGTTGTATGGAGCTTCGAGCTGCTGCGCTGTGGCCTCAAAGGTCAGCTGGATCTTAGGGTTGTCCAACCACAGTTGGAGCTGTATGACGTTAATATAAATTAACATACAGTTGTACATATGTTTAAAACGATGATCCCATAGTCGTTGATTTTTTAACACAAAGTGTCTACACAGGGACTTACTGTACGGTTGCGGATGTAGAGGAAGACCTTCTGAGTCTGCTGGGGGCCGCTGATGATGTCAGGGAAGCAGGCGGCCTCTTGGGATGTCATACGGTCATGAGGAAGACGGCTCTGGAAAGCAGCTCCCTCCACACCTAAAGGTAATGTACATGTCACTACTCTTAAACAGTACTGAGTGTCATCTAGAATTAATTCAAGACCAGAAGAAAGAGCATTCATATGCAATGAGCTCCAAAATGAAATTGAACACAGGGTACTTTGCCAGACTATGAAAGACACAGCCATCATGTTAGGAAGAAGAATCTCTGCATTCTTGCCTGAAGAAAAGCTCAGGCTTTCTATTATGTTCCTCATTAATAACATCAATATGAATTCAGTGCTTTGATACGATACGTCACGTTTCCGACTCACCAGACGGCTCCTCTGGTTCACTGTCATTCTCTTCCTCTGGTGGTGGAGCTGGTGGAGGGATGACCTGCTTCCTCTCTTTCTCTGCCTTGGCATTCCTCTCCTCCTCAGAGTAGTACTCGTCCTCCGATAGATTAGCCAGGCTCTCGTCCATCTCGCGGTACTCCACCTGCAACAGTAGGCACAATAAAAGCATCATTAAAACCATGAACATGATGCAGCACAGACTGAGATATAAAGTCTGTTGCCAATTTCCACTGGGACACAAATGCAAGTGAGAGCCTGTGACTTCAGATGAAGACTGATATTGCACCTAAAGCTTAAATGAAGAGGCACGCATTGATCCTTTAAAACAAATTCGTCTTTACAATTTTTGCTCTCACTCATCATCAGTTTTGGCAACATCTGTTCCTCCCAGAGCGGGAGGAAGCAGAACCCTAAAATGTTTACTTTTGCTCGCTTGCGACGGCTTGTTCTGCGAACTTCAGCTGAGTCTTGGTCAGCCCCCCCAGGGCCTGCTTGGTGAGGCAAGGGGGCTCCTCCAGGCTCCCCACTAGGGGATGACCTCTCCTTTTTCTTTACATCCATAGGGCCCGCAGCTGAGGCTGACGGCCCAGTCTGGGCATCAGAAACAGGGGCCCTATCCCCACCCGCTGCTCCCGCAGTAGATGAAGAGGAGGAGGAAGAGGAGCCAGCTTCTGATTTCTTGCTAGAGAGCATCATGGAGGATGTTGGAGGCCTCTCCTGAAGAAAAGGGGGAAACAGAAATATGATGAAATCCATCAAAATGAAACAGACAACAGCCCAAGTTACAATACTTTTTGAGGGAAATGGTTGAGATTTGAGTGTTCAAAAAAGTGTAATAAAAGAAAAAGATAAGAAAATATTCCTAACAGAAAAGATGAAAATGATGAAGTGTGGGTTGTGCGTGCAGAAAACAAACAACCAAACAAAAAAATATATTTGAGGTTTGTGCGATTTGTGGTGTTCCCAAACTTGTTTGAAAATTATAGCCTAAAATACTTCAAATGTAAAACCTACAAAATCCATGCCAGATGGTTACTTTTACTACTCACTAGTAGGTGTCACACAAATTAACTCATGAAAAAAGCATTCATTGACACCCCCCTATGTCAGCTGGTCACTTTTCTGCTGGGGACATTGAATGCACCTGCAACAAAAGGCTAACAACCACCAAATGCTGTCTGGCTTTGGGAGATACTTCACCCAGAATAATTACATCTGCATCGCTGAATGATTTCAGTAACACTAACTGTGCATGAATGTCATGGTTTATGAAATGAAATCTCCATGGTTACAGTAACCTTGTCTTGTTTTACCCATTTCTCCGTGCACCTGGTAATATCCATTCAAACACTAAGAAATAAAGACAGAACCAGAAATATGATTACGAACAGGACTAACTAGACAAAAAACGTTGGCCTTTAACATTACATCCATTGAGTTTAGCCTAGCTACATATTTTGAAAACCTATTGGCAAATATCCACAGAATAATGCAATGCAAGACAGTCATCAAGTGTGTCACCATTCCGTTAGCTCAGTGGTTTTCAGGACTTAGCCAAGTGGGAATATCCACTCGAGAAAACCCGACAAATCTGAAATGGTGCCCGTATGAACCCTGGTGTTTGATTAATACATTTTAACAGTAGATTAGCCGGACACCTTTATTGCGACGAGACCTTTGGTAGTCCCGTGATTGACCAAATTGACTTTTGTTAGCTAGCGAGTTAACTGCAAAGCTAGCAGTAGCACGGCTATCAACGTTAGCTTTCGTTATCTAACGGTAGCTTTGTTCATAGCAGCGACTAACACATAATTCAGATTAATAATATATTCTTTTAATATGACTGAAGCAAAAGCTGTACTGTAAATATAGTTAAGAACGCTTCTAAATGGATTTCCTTTCAAAATTTTATTACGAGACCATGCTATGTTAGCTAACGCCGCTAACAATGAGACCTGTCTGGCTAGCACCAGCAGCGGCACAGTAGCAGGTGCGACCTAGCAAAAAAGCAACCGCAGGCTTCGCTTCCGAAGAGATCTGCATCGATAAAATAACAAAATGTTGGGCAGACTTCCTTACACCAGATAGCATTGTTTTTTTTTAATAAGGGCAAGGATTAAATATTGAAAAATATAATATTACCTCGCAGTCCTCCGAAGATGTCAACACAAAGACGGCACAGTAGCACGTCTCCTTTCAATGAACGCTTACGTGATTGGTGGATCAGAGACGTTACCCAACACCACCCAGCGAAATGATTCGTCAATGTCACTGTCAATCAAAAGGTAGACGGGATCTGTTTTATTTCATTTAAATTTTAGTCATACAAAATGCCATTCAGGCACAGTTTGGCGTCGTCTTTCTGGTATAAAACCTGAAAATAAAAAGCGTTAAAGATTCCTTTAGTTTGTGACAAGGAAGCAGCGTTTATTTATTGTCTGTTTTTTAGATAAAAGGACAAAACTGGTCCCAGCGCTGCAAACAAAGTGACGTCACTCTGGAGGAAGAACAGGATGGGTAAGGAGGGAAGGTGGGGGTGGACAGGTAAAGGTGAGCTTCCCTGTCGCACCTACAACTAAGGGAAGCATACGGACGTGTTGTTGACTCCTTTGTTTCTCCATTTTGAGCCGACTGTGTGTAAGTAATGCTTAAAATCCAGATATAAGTCGTTAATATGTGTTTGTGCATCACTGTATTTCACTTTAGTGAGCTAAAAGTAGGTCTATGTCTGTTTTGCTTTGGCTAATCTGGGTGCTGGTGGTAGACTCGAGATTTGTGTGTGTGATATGAAGCCTTTCAGGGGTGGGGTGGGTTATTCTGTGTTGTTAATAAATTAACTGCAAATGCAATGTCCTACATTAACTCAAAATGAGAGTTTACACTTAAAATGGCAGAACAAGGATCATAAAGGCTCATTCATATAGGACCTTGATGAATGAGCCTTTATTTAACCTAGTCTGTATATTCTAAGTTATACAGGGAGTGCCATTATGGCTATCATGTAATACATTTATGTTACATTATACTACAAGCATGTACAAACTGGTAATCTGATATACAATCTCACCAACAGGACCAAAAAATGGTGAAGCAAGAGCCGCAGTTAGAAAACCGGCCTGACAACACTGCCTTCACCCAGCAGAGGCTTCCTGCATGGCAGCCCATTCTCTCCGCTGGCATTGTCATCCCGGGGTTTGTCGTCATTGGCCTGGCATTCATTGGTATTGGTGTCGCTCTCTTTGTCACCTCACGGAGCATCCAGGTGTTGGAGGTATGACTGGGACCACTGAACACACAAATCAGTCAGGTGGCAGGCTGGAAAATGAAGTGTCAGCTGTCACCAGCAAAAAATGAGAAAGAGACTGAGTAGAAAATGTATTAACCTGGTAGAAGTGAACAAACCTTAAGTAAACATTAAAACAATCGGACTGAGTTTAAAGAGGTGTGGTGTCCCATAACACCTGCTGGAGATAGCTGTTGTAGCCATCAATAATGAATAATGACCTGTCTTGTTCTTTCTTACACAGCTGGACTACACTGGGGTTGAACAAAACTCACCATGCTTCAAGTGCTCTAACCCAGATAACAAGAACTGTGTGTGCACGCTGGCCTTCTCCATTGACACTCTCTTTAAGGTTGTACTGGAGCTTTGCACAAACACATGCACACACATTTACAATCAGTAATTAAGCTGAACTGTACTCCTGCCTCTGACATTTGGCCTGGTGATTCTGTTTTCCTCCACAGGGGCCTGTGTTCTTTTATTATGGTTTGTCCAACTACTTCCAAAACTACAGAAAGTACAGTGTGTCCAAAGATGATGGCCAGCTGTCTGGGGACATTGACAACTTTAAGGTAAGTTAACAACATAGAATATTAACAAAAAACACTCTGGTTTTATTTTCTACGGCACAATTCATATGTTGTTAATTGGAATCAAAATACTTTAAAGATGGAGTACAAATATGCCAGGTTGTCATTTTGGTTAAAGGAACAGGGTTTAGTGGCATGTAGCTGTGGATATTGGAGACTACCAGCTGAAACTTCTACAATGTGCCAAGCATGAACTCCCAGTTAGAATTCCTTAAGTGCTCACTGATCAGAAGGTTTCTACCGGGAGCCGAATTATCCGCAGAGGTCTCTTCCTGTCCAAAACAAACGGACCGGGTGATTAAACTGTTAAAAACACTAGGTGAAGCAGTTTCACGTTACAAATCAGTGTTTCTCTGGCGCTGTTTGGCTCGTGGCAGCAAGCCGCTAGCCCAGCACCTGCTAATGTGTGCTCACCTTTTTTCTCAGATAGCTTAAGGTCCAGACATTCGATAGTTTTCTACCATGAGTTGAATTATCGGCGGAGGTCTCTTCCTCTCCGAAACAAAACAGCCAGGTGATTAATCTGTTAAAAACACTGGATAAAGCAGTTTCATGTTACAAATCAGTGCTTGTCACAGCAAGGCGCTAGCCCAGCACCTGCTAATGTGTGCTCGCCTTTTTTCTCAGATAGCTCAAGGCCCAGATGTTCGGTAGTTTTCTACCATGAGCCAAATTATCGGCAGAGGTCTCTCCTCTCCAAACCAAATGGACATGGCGATTTAAACCATTAAAACACAGAATAAAGCAGTTTGATGTTAAAAATCGGTGATTTTCATACACTGTTCAGCTTGTCATGGAGGGGCTGCCAACTACAGTGGCTGACACGAAAAGGCAAAAGATCCTACCTAGAACCAGTGTTTGGTTTGTCCTCTTTGAGCTAGAACCATGTCTGTGCAATATGGCAGATCCTGTGGACGAAAACCTGCTATGTAGATATAAACAGCTCTCTCTTAGGTAACCAAAACATGACAATTTTTATTTTCAGGTGATTATACACGTAAGAAAACATACTTAATATATTCCATTTCTGTCAATACATCCCCTTAAATCCTACGCACTGGACCTTTAAACAGTTCATAGTTTCTTCAGTGTACATGGTGTGTACAATAAAAACACTGTTCTCTGTCTCTAATGAAGAGTCCCGATGACGCCTGTGAGCCATATCAGTATGACAGCAACAACAAACCAATTGTACCATGTGGATCAATAGCAAACAGCATGTTCAATGGTATGTAAGGACATTCAGAATGAATTTGGAATGAAGTGTATAAATACTGTGTTAAGGAAGTATTAATTCTTGTTTTTGTTTTTTTAAGACACCTTTAAGCTGTATCAGATCGTCAGTGGGAAAAAGAAGCAGGTGCCCCTCGATGGAAAAGGGATTGCTTGGTGGACAGACTACAACATCAAATACAGAAACCCCAGCATCACACCTCTGAAGAACGCATTCAATGGTAGTAACTTACTTAACTGTACCTGGCCATCTGTTGTGCAGTGCTATGATTAATTGTGTTTAATGAGGGGTTCCCAATCTGCTCAAAATGAATTGAGTGCTCACAAGGATTTTACAAAGTGGTAAAGAAGTTGTGTTGAAGGGAGTATTTTGGACAAGAGGAGTATCATAGTTTAGTACAGTGGTGAAATCACATTTTATAAAAACATGCGTTTAATATAATGTTTGAAAATCATGATAGCTGATTAAATGATCGACTTCCAGGTACAGTGAAACCCATATTTTGGCCCAGGCCTGTATATGAGTTGGACACCTCAGACCCTGCTAACAACGGCTTCATCAATCAAGATTTCTTGGTGTGGATGAGGACGGCGGGCCTGCCAGATTTCAGAAAGCTGTATCGACGAATCACCGAGGGCGATTACGAAGAGGGTCTGCCAGCTGGAAACTACTCCCTTGAGATTGCCTACAGTATCCTTTATGAACGTTACAGATTGTGGCCTGATTCTAAGGAGGTGCTTGGACGTATGGGAGGTTATGCGTGAGTCCTGTGTTTGAAAATTCATTTTAATAATTTTCACTCTGACCCTATTTAACCTTTTTTTTTCCATCACACAAATTAGCACTGCATAGCTGTTTAAAACAGCATATTAGTGTGCATAATAAACCTTATCATCAGGGCTTAAAGAAGAACATCTGTGTGGTTAAAGGATTTTTTCCACTGTTCCATCCACATGAGAATTTACCAAGATTTGAATCTACATAAAGGAGTCAGCCATTGCATTGGTCACATGTTTTGTGTGTTACAACAACAGTCCAACTTGTTAAACCGGTTGGGTGTTGTTCTGTTTTTACCAGAGCAGAGTGAACACAGTGACTCAGGAGTTCCTTGGGCTAAGACAAAAACAGGCAAATTTTTCCGACATAAGTAAATGCGCTAGGCAAATAACTATTCACGATTTTCATGGAGCCTATAAAAGCCTTTGTAAATACCTCAAAGGCATTTTTTTATTTTGCTTTAAGGACCATACTGTCTGTTAAAGGTTAGATCATTCAACAATGTATAAATACTCAGATACACTTCACTAAAACCAGGAAATGTAGATGGGCTGGCAGCTTATTTAAAACCTTTTTGTTAGCTTTTGGTAATGACAAATTTCAAACAAATGTAAATTAATGGAGTGAAAGAGAGCAATGTTTATTGTATTACTTTTATTTTTGTTTACATATCGGACCCAGGCACATCACAAAGTGCACAGACAGCAATCAATGCTATCAGGGCAGAGGAACCAGTGGCAGTAACAGTAACCAACACACACACACGCTTCATCTCTTTGTTTTCCACTGAGGTCAAGCTAATTTGTTTGGGAAAAGACAGATGTTTTGAAAAGCTACTAAGCGCAGTCGGAGCTGCGTCACATGAGAAAACACTGATTTGCTCTCGTACGATCTGTACATCCTGCCCAATCAGTGCTGTACGTATGTAACTCAACAGAGATGAGATGGAAGCAAGATGGCTCACTCGTTAGCTACTTCCAGATACAATATGTAGTTTATATGTTTTGAAATACTAGTATATCTAATTGATGTCTGCTGGGCCACTTGGCTTCTTGGCCAGATTTGGCCCGGAGGCCACCAATTGAATAGGCCTGCTTTACATTTCTGCTTATTAATTTTAATGCAAACCAGATAACTTAAGTTGTTTGTATGTATTTTTCTACTATTTCAGGCAGCAGTTGTTTTCTATCTGCATTAAAGATCGCATCGAGTCTAAATTTTTGTCAATGTAAAATTATCATTCAGTGTTTTATGCAGTTTAAAAATAGAAGTCTGCACAGCATTAAGTCATTACAATAA